GAAAAGTTTTATGCAGAGAAGTGAAACCACCTGACTCATGTTTCTAGAAGCTCTCATGGGCCACTGTACAGAGCATAGAGTGTGGTGGGACAAGAATGACAGCAAGGGACCAGTGAGAAGGTCCCTGGAGTCACCAGATATGAGGAGATGGAGACGGGCTAGAATGGGATGGCAGAGCTGGAGGGATGTGGACAAAGCCCGGATGTGTTTTGGAGGCAGAACTAATGGATTTGCTAGGAGGTGAAGGATGGCTCTGGATTCCTGAGGCACGATGGCCTTTCACCAACTTGAGGAAGACCAAGGAGAGGCTTGAGGACTAACACAGCACTCTTAAGGATGCCAGGCGAAGGTGGAGACTGCCATGAGCTGTGATTATGCACTGCACCCTAGCCTGGGTGACAGACTGACATCCTGTCTTAAAATATATATGTAATAAGCCGGGCGCGGTGGCTCAAGCCTGTAATCCCAGCACTTTGGGAGGCCGAGGCGGGTGGATCACGAGGTCAAGAGATCGAGACCATCCTGGTCAACATGGTGAAACCCCATCTCTACTAAAAACACAAAAAATTAGCTGGGCATGGTGGCGCTTGCCTGTAATCCCAGCTGCTCAGGAAACTAAGGCAGAAGAATTGCCTGAGCCCAGGAGGCGGAGGTTGCGGTGAGCCAAGATCACGCCATTGCACTCCAGCCTGGGTAACGAGTGAAACTCTGTCTCAAAAAAAAAAAAAAGAAATATATATGTAATAAAAAAATAATAAATAAAGGTCCAGGCATGGTGGTTCACGCCTATAATCCCAACACTTTGGGAGGCTGAGGCAGGTGAATCACCTGAGGTTAAGAGTTCAAGACCAGCCTGGTCAACATGGCAAAACCTCATCTCTACTAAAAATACAAAAATTACCCAGGTGTGGTGGCACACACCTGTAATCCCACCTACTTGAGAGGCTGAGGCAGGAGAATCACTTGAACCCAGGAGGCAGAGGTTTCAGTGACCCTAAATTGTGCCATTGCACTACAGCCTGGGCAACAGAGGGAGACTCCATCTCAATAAATAGGCAAGCAATTAAAACACTTGCCTACTACCATCTATCCTCATCCCTTTTTCATGTCTAACACCAAGACACCAAAATAGTTGGCAGCACATCATCTCAAAAGATAAGCATAGTTCTTTCAAATGAATGCTTTTAGTGTATGAAAAGCTGCCTCAGTGTCTGATTTTCTTGTTTTTGAGGGGTAATGATGGAGGCCTCTCTCCTGTACCCGCAGGCCTCTGGGGATGCCGCCCCAGCCCCGTTGCATGAGTAGCACGGTGTTGGGAAGACGAAGGAGCAGTTTGTCTGGCATCTTCACAGGCCTGCAGCTGGCGGGTACAGTGGCAGAGAAGGCGAGGCCAAGGTGGAGCTGGGGAAGCCAGCAGGGGCCAGATCGTGGAGGGCCTTGAGCTGCATCTGGGAGGCACTGAGAAAGGGCATGGAGGCTGTCCCTACAGCCCCCAACATCTTATTAGAAAATATTCAAACATACAGAAAACATGAAGGGTTTTATGCTCATATTTTCATTTTGGAGAGATCATTCTGCTTGAAATATAACACCGACTGCGCACTGCCAAGGACTTAGCCTGTGCTGGGTTCCGTTCTTAGCATCTGACATGTATTGGCCTGTCGAGGGTGGCCATGTTTGTAACATCAGTATATCTATTTGGATATCTAGGTGTGGACATAAAGAGATACCTAGAAGACATTCCCATTGCCTATGGGAGTGATTCGTGCTGGGATATTATTTATTTATTTATTTAGAGATGAGCCTCGCTCTGTCAGCGAGGCTGGAGTGCAATGGCGTGATCTGGCTGACTGCAACCTCCGCCTCCCAGGTTCAAACTATTCTCCCGCCTTAGCCTCCCTCGCAGCTGGGACTACAGGCGCCTACCACTGTGCCTGGCTAATTTTTGTATTTTTAGTAGAGATGAGTTTCCACATGTTGCCCAGGCTGGTCTCAAACTCTTGACCTCAAATAATCTGCCCACGTTGGCTTCCCAAATTGCTGGGATTACAGGCATGAGTCACCATTCCTGGCTGGAATCTTAATTTGTATTTTTTTCTTTTTAGCCCTTGATTTTCACCCTGTTAGGCTGACTTTAGGAGTCTGACCCCAAAACTGCAAAAGAATAAATTAATCTGGAAAGCCACTACGTTTGTGGTAATCTGTTACAGCAACAACTAGAAACTAATACAATGGGGATTTAACTTGGCTCGGGGGTGCTGGCTCTTCCCCACTTTCTTCTCAGAGCATCTCTTGAGTCCTCACCCCTTGCGGAGCCCCCACCATGGCCCCGTGGACCAGCGATGGACCCGATCAGATTCTTCTCTTGGGATTTTAAATAAAAGATGCATGGAGGCGGGCGGATCATGAGATCAGGAGTTCAAGACCATCCTGGCCAACACAGTGAAACCCCATCTCTACTAAAAATATAAAAATTAGTCTGGGATGATGGCATGCACCTGTAGTCCCAGCTACTCAAGAGGCTGAGGCAGGAGAGTGGCTTGAACCCAGGAGGCAGAGGTTGCAGTGAGCCAAGATGGAGCCACTGCACTCCAGGCTGGGCAAGCGAGCAAGACCCCATCTCAATAAATAAATAAATAAATAAATAGGAGATGCAGAAGCCGTGTGCCCAGCCTCTCTGTGCTACCCTGCAGGCACAGTGCCTGGCGCCACCGCTCTGTAGGGGTCCTGAAGATGTCTGTTGGCCTGGGTTAGGTGTGAGCTAAGGGATATGAGGGCAGTTCACATTGCGGGCTCAGCCCTTTGGTGTTACCTGTGCTCTGGAAGCCCAGGGCCTGTAAGGGGGAGAGAACAACTTTGCTGAAAGGCGGGACCTCCCTGCAGAGCTTGAAGAACAATCTAATCATCCTGGCATGGGCGCATCCCACCTGTGATGCCGGTGTAAGTCTGTGAAAGTCACTCATATTCACAGCATGTGGATCGGGACTCTGCGGAGTCACAGTGGTGGGCACCTTCATCTCCATTTGGCAAATCCAGTGCGAGCAGCCTGAGGGTTCCATGGGCCCAGCCTCACCTCCATCCTTATTTCCCTCCCACTCCAGGGCTCCTCCTCAGCCACACTCGCCTGTGAGTACCCCTCGGCTATATCAGTCTGTTCTCATGCTGCTCATAAAGACATACGCAAGACTGGGTAATTTATAAAGGAAAGAGGTTTAATGGAATCACAGTTTCACATGTTCAGGGAGACCTCACAACCATGGCAGAAGGCGAAAGGCATGTCTTATATGGTGGCAGGCAAAGAGCAAATGAGAGCCAAGCAAAAGAGGAAACCTTCTATAAAACCATCTGATCTGCCGGGCGCGGTGGCTCGCACCTGTAATCCCAGCACTTTGGGAGGCTGAGGTAGGTAGATCACCTGAGGTCTGGAGTTCAAGACCAGCCTGACCAACATGGAGAAACTCTGTCTCTACTAAAAATACAAAATTAGCCAGGCATTGTGGCAGGTGCCTGTAATCGCAGCTACTCAGGAGGCTGAGGCAGGAGAATCACTTCAACCCGGGAGGCAGAGTTTGTGGTGAACCAAGATCACGCCACTGCACTCCAGGGCAACAAGAGAGAAACTACATCTCAAAAAAAGAAAAAAGCCATCCGATCCCATGAGACTTATTCACTACCACGAGAACA